TTGAATATTGTTCGTATTTGATAGCTATTGAATATTGTTCGCATTAGATAGCTATTGAATATTGTTCGCATTAGATAGCTATTGAATATTGTTCGTATTAGATAGCTATTGAATATTGTTCGTATTAGATAGCTATTGAATATTGTTCGTATTGGATAGCTATTGAATATTGTTCGTATTGGATAGCTATTGAATATTGTTCGCATTAGATAGCTATTGAATATTGTTCGTATTGGATAGCTATTGAATATTTTTCGCATTAGATAGCTATTGAATATTGTTCGTATTGGATAGCTATTGAATATTGTTCGTATTAGATAGCTAAGGAATATTGTTCGTATTAGATAGCTATTGAATATTGTTTGTATTGGATAGCTATTGAATATTGTTCGCATTAGATAGCTATTGAATATTGTCCGTATTAGATAGCTATTGAATATTGTTCGTATTGGATAGCTATTGAATATTGTTCGTATTAGATAGCTATTGAATATTGTTCGCATTAGATAGCTATTGAATATTGTTCGTATTTGATAGCTATTGAATATTGTTCGCATTAGATAGCTATTGAATATTGTTCGTATTGGATAGCTATTGAATATTGTTCGCATTAGATAGCTATTGAGTATTGTTCGTATTGGATAGCTATTGAATATTGTTCGTATTAGATAGCTATTGAATATTGTTCGTATTACCCACCGAATCGGCGATATACTACATTAATGGCCCCCAACTTTTTGCATTTTAATTTATCTTTTAGTTTTTGTATTTTTAAATAAACATGATATTTGATTAATATTAAACGTTCTCAAAATGAAATACTATATTCTTAGCATACAAGCATTTTGCCATATTTATTAGGCTGTTAACTTGTAACTTAAATTTTCTGTTTTATTAGATACAAAGACGTCATCGACTCGATGCTCTTTAGAATTATTTTCATATGTCCATCAGTACGATTATCTTTGATGCAACTCTATATTGATGATTTTTTTAAATATAGCATCTATATATCAATACAAATTGGTAATTATTTGCTGAAAATATATATTTATATTTATAAAACTTATAAATATTTACACTATTATGTAACACCTAAATCCCTTTATGTACCGCCTCTAATTCACCTTTTGTATAACCTCACACATTATGTAACACCTTCTGTACCGTATTATCTATTTATTCGAGGAATATTTCAGTATATCAACATCTCCTGAAGAGTGAGTTACTCACGAAACAGGCTTGTAGAGATAAACCATGTAGTTTTACTTTCTTCAATCTATGATATATTTATATTTATATATATATATATATATATGAAATGGATAAAAATGCAATTAGAGAATGGGCAGCAGCAAATGGTGCAGCAGTGAGGCAGCACACTGTCAGGTAAAAGCGACAATGGAACGGTAAGGAACATGTTACCACGTCAGCCTCTTGTAGTGGAAATTAAAAGCAACCCTGATGTACCAAGACGATTATGTTTGCTGCTGTAGATAAAAAAAAGTGTTCTGGGAGCTGTTGATCAAGATTTAATTGGTGAGAAAGACAAAGTTGATGAGTATAGTTAACGCTAGAGAAGTGGTGTTGTGGAAGGGGGCAGGGCAGCTCAGCCCCTTTTGTTAAAATTCAGAGAGATTCTTCGGGCGTGATCGTGAAATCTAATTTCCAATGTCATAAAAGCGTGATTTGCAATTCTTTTAGGCGAGATTGCGTGATTCAGCTAGATACCTGGTAACCCCAATTAGGGCATTTGTTAAAGCCAAACACTTGGCAATTGACAGGTAAAAGCGTGCTAAAATAGTTAATTTAGAATTCAAGCTCTCTTGTAAAACTTTTACGACAACATCCACGATGTCGGGGGTCTAAAAGTGTTGGAAGGGGGGCTATGACCGAATGAAAACAGGGATAACTGGTGGTTCATTTCATGATAGCTTGCATGATGGGGGGTCCCCCTGCTTTGCGTCCGCGGTGCCTGTTCAAAAATAGCAGTGTACCCTATACAAGTGGACAAGTACTCCACCTGCAAACTATAACCCCGCCAAAGTCTGCTTGTTTAATTTTCTCCTTTTGTCTGTTCTTTGTTATTCTTTTTTGACCTTCGGCATACATACTTCCCGTTCGTATGGTGATTGGACCGCTGAAACACGAACGAAAATCTTTATTGTACAAAAGTTGAGAAGGAGCTTGAGAATTTGCAAACATGATACGAGTCTTTTTCTAAGCTTTCATCAATTTAATGTTGGTGCAGAATGTTTTGGCGATTCCTTTTCTTCTATCACGTTTGTCTGCTCGTATTATGTAATGGTAAGTCCAATCACTGGGAAAGTATTACTTATTTTGTAGCATAACCTTGAAACAGGAAGACTTTACCTGTTAAATATGTTGCTATCAAAGCTTTGTCTCTTCTTCTTCTTTACCGTAGGCCTTGTCCTGATTGATCAGGGTTGGTCGCTATTGAAACTTTGTAATACAGCATTAATGACTTATGAAGTAACAGTGTAAAGGCTGGTTTTCAATTTTTGTGATTGTTTTTCTGTACTGACTCAGAACATAGCAAACTTTCGCAGACAAGATTGTAGTGCTAGGGGGCCCAAATGGGGGCTCTTAACATATTGTTTTCAACATTTTTAAGAGCGCCCATTTTTTATTTAAAGCACTGCACCTCTGGTCGAAGATGGTTAAAATTCAAACTTTTTCGAATCGGTGACTTTCGTGTGTGACTTCACAGATTGTCACAGATGGCTGTTATAAAAATGGCAGTTTACTTTTGGATTAAGCAGTATGTAATGATCTGCGATTCTTGCAAAAAATTCAAACAGAACTAAGAGATTAAGAACAGGGCCAGTCTTTGCCGGTTCTCGTCCACTGATCTCATCGCTGTCGTGAATATAAATTGCTTCCTCCTTGAATTGACTTGTTTTTGTTTTAAACGACTCAGAATATTTTGACTGACCGGCCATTCTTGGTTTTATTAATAGTTTTGCTTTGTTTGTTACTGTTGCTTTTTAAATAATAGCAATTGTTATCAGGCTCGTGACAATATTTTGTTTTCGACTCTCTATTGTGAATACTGTACAATTTCTTATCGCTAAGCCCAGTAAAGAGACGCTAAGTGATTGTATTGTATTGTGTTGTAGATTATTTAATGTTAGTTTTTACAATAGTGAATATACACTAACTAAGACTAACATGAAGCAATTTCAAGGATTGCAAAAGACAGTTCATTCACTGCAAAACGAGTATGCGCACTTATTTTCAAGGAACCAAATTTTGATCGAATTCTTAAATTGTCTAGAATTTTGTGCTGTCTTTATTGATTCCGAGAGTGAATTCCAGATTTGAGGCCCTTGAAAACTTAATGATCTGATACCATTATTGGTAGCTCTGGCTTTTGATTGTCGAAGGTTATGACCTGTTGTTTCGCTGTTGTTTTGATGTATTCAAACAGAGATACGCAAGTGTCATGGTTTTTTCATAAAAGGCAGTGTGTCATGCCATACCTTGGTTTACCGAAACAAAGACTTAAATTTCTATATCAGTGCGTTTCCATTTCCTAACAAAGGAGGTCTCCTACCTCTCAGAGTGCATTCGATGTACTTAGGCCCGCAGATCTTCGGCGTACAAACAAATAAAATATTTTTTGGCGCATGCAAAACTTTTTGTAAATGAAGATAAGATGAACAGCGAGCATGAAAAAAATAAATCAAGACTCCAGCGTACACCTTAGCTAACTTCCTATCGATTAGTTAAATGCAGTATTCTCTCCAATTAGCGGATACCGTCGGGGCCAGAGCAAGGTGTCGGCAAATTAGAAGTGTCCGCCTTTTGGAAAGTTTTGCAATGTAAGTCCCAAAGTTGAAAATAAACCCTAGTTTTGTATTTAAAAGGTGTAGTGTAGTCTGGGTAATTAGTGGCTATCGGGTTGAACTTAGACACTTAAAAAAGGAAAAATAACCAAATTGAGCGTAACACAACACTTTTATGGACAAAAAAGTTAGTAAACTGGGCTGTAATGAAACTCGAAGCTGCGCAAAGCCAACTAGATTGTCAAGTATCAAAGTGTTTGTAACAAATGCTTGAACAAATATTCATCTGTCTTATATATTCGTCTTATACAAATATTCAAATATTCATTTTTTTGTTCCCTGGCTCCTAAATTTGTTGTACTGTCCGCTAATTGGAAAGAAAAAAGCCAAATTGACTATTTTGTGCAAAATATTTTGTCCGTTTATTTGAGTTTTCGCTAATTCAGTGTCCGCTTTTTAGAAAGTTTTTTATGAGACTTTGAGCAGAAAACGATCGAGGAAAAAATTTTGTCCGCTAATCAGAAGTGTCCGCCTTTTAGAGTGTCCGTTAATTGGAGAAAATACTGTACTGATTTGTCACGCTTCTTTAATTTCGAGGATCCTCGAAATTCAACAAACAATAAACAGCGCGACATACTGCCTTCAAGATGGAGTACTTTGTTAACGATGGTAAGCGCCTTGAACCTCATCAAAGTATAGGGTCGTTACCTTACAAAGCAGGCACCGCGGAGCGTTGAGAAAAGTGGGGGGTCTAAAAAAGTGGGAGGGGGCTAAAACCGTATAAAGAGCGGCTTTTCTGGTAGTTTATCGACTAATTTTTGGCATTTTTGGCAAAAAGTGGCCTCCCCTGCTCCGCGGTCCCTGCAAAGGGTCGTAATCTGCGAAAAGGCTAACCTCATCACAGTGATGCACATTGCATACATTGAAGTGACCATTGTCATATCGTAATTATGTCCTCCTTGTCACATTGTCATTAACACCTTGCATTTGTCCTTGTATCCACAGTAACCTAATCAACAACATTTGTTAGCGTCCTCTCATTTTATGTGTAATTTATGTGTAAAAAATATCGATCACTTTCTTTCAGACCTTCAGGTTCCTTTTGTAAGCATAAAAAATGTCATCGAAATATAACCTGCATATGATCGTGTTAACCAGCCTTAAAACATGATGTGTGAAGTATAACGCCTCGGTCAAACGATACAATATTTCACCCATTTCACCAAACAACCCAACATGATGTTGGGCGAAATGTTGGATCGTTTGACCACCATGTTGGGTCATCCAACATCGTCATTTTCGTTGTTGGGTGAAATTTGACTGAGGTCAAAAATGTTGGCAGCCGATATCCAACAATTCTATTGTTTTGCAATGTTGGGTGAAATGCTGAATCGTTTGACCAGCAACGTGCGATCACACTCCAACAGAAAAGAAAAAGGTTGGGCGAAATGTTGGGTGAAATGTTGGATCGATTGACCAGGGCTTAATTAAAACTTTTATGTATTTGCGTTCTTTGTTTCTTGCCTTCCTCTCGTTGAGGTGTTTTTTGTTATGGACCTTTGTAGATGCCCATGACTTTTTTCAGCATGTTTTCATATATTTTATTGAACAATCACTCTCTTTATTCTGTTGTTTACTACTTCGTTGTTTCTTTGACTTGCAGCAACATCATCCCCAAGGAAGGACCTAGTCATAATACTGGACTGCTCTAAAAGCATTTCAAGAAATACTTTCAGTCATGACATTAATTTCCTGAAAAACCTTGTCAATCATCTAAGCATATCACCAAGCTCTGTTAGAGTAGCAATGGTTACATTCGCCTCAAAAGCAAAGATCGAGTTTAATTTCGAACAATATGTGAACAGAGAATGCGTACTAAAGAGACTCAAGAAAATTCAAAGAAGGTATATATGCACTAGCTATACTCGCTGTCACAGTTACTTGTTGTTGTAATTATTGAAAGCCTAGATAATTGTTTGGACCAAAATCTTGTCTTAACAACACATGGCGCCCAACTTGGGGAGTCGTCAATGCTGTGGCTGACGATAAGAGGACTGGGTCTAAACCAATGCAAAGCTTTCTAATATTTGCAAAATTTTTCAGTATGTTTATGAAGTAGCAAAGGATAGCAAAGGATTATTTTTTACTCCAGTGATTGTCGCAATCATCAAAATCTTTATTGTCATTACTAACGCCATCGGCGACTACCTATCTTTGTCTCCGTTATCATTATCTTCAACTTAGTTTCGTTTGTTTCTGTCCAAATCATCCGAAACTACTTCTCTTTCGTCTCTGTCATCTCAACAGCTTTTCCTTTGTCCCCATGATCATCAAATTTCCTACTTTGACCTTGCTTTTTAAAAATGACATAAAAAGAAATAGCACAATTATGAAATGTTCATTGGAGAAGACGAACCTTATTACCTATTTCAATTAAAAGCTGGATACTGTTAGAATATCCAAAGCAAAGCTTGAAGTTCCTCGAACTTCAGCTTTTTGACCCCTTTTTCGTCGAAATTCTTTGTTAGGTCCAATTTAAAACGATTTGCGTATGATTTACCGCAAAGCCCTGTTGCCCACGGCCACACAACAAATTTGCCGTGACCTAGATACATCAAATTCTGCACTTATGAATTTTGAAATTCTTTTAAATAGTAGAAGCTCTCTTTCCGTGAATGGAATCCAAGTAGATAAATGTGATTTCCGTCTTAGCGATAATCCGGTCAGTGGAGTACGAAACACAAGTCGAAATGTTCTGAAGCTGACAATTAGCACCGCTAAGCGCCTGTTTACAAGGAGAGATATTTACTCTAGTAGGAGAAGAGTTTCCTCTGTAGGACAGAGTTGTACACTGCTCAGTGGCGTGCTGGGAATGAGGTCGCGGGGGGGGGGGGGCAAAGAGTCAACATGGCGCCACACATATCTTCTAATTTTACTTCAAGGTAATGGAAATGTGCAGAAAAGTACAAGAGTTCGGAAGCACGCTGATCTATATCTCTCTATCTGTTGTAAGTCTGATCTATGTAAGTCTTTGTAAAACTTGGCAGTATTTTTGAGTATTGTTGTAGCGGCTGTATCATCAAATTGCACAACAATGATAATCAGGAACATTACTATTGAGAGAGTTTAGGGGTAGGGAGGGGGCGGTAAGATCGTTCAGGAGTTTATCGAAGGCGGTCGCCATCGTTGAAGGCAAAAAAATGCAAAGAAGACGCTCTAGGGATGGTCGGAGAATGCATCCAAATATTTACAACATCGCTATAGACTCATGGAAAATCCTGTACAATACCCAGTAGCAGCGCTACGGGAAGGGGGGGGACTGTGGGGACACGTTCTGCCCCAGTTCTCAGCAGAATCGATTTTGTATTTCGTCTAGATTCGATGAGAAAATGTTGGGGGAGGGGTAATATTTTGACACCGTACTTTTTGTGATGTAATCCTATGATTTTCAAAATTGCCAATTTTCAAACAAAAGTTAGTCATAGGCGTTCCCTTCGGGTGGAACTGGCGTTCCCTGTTGGTAAAAGAGCATTTTCTGGCAGTTAAAAGGGCGTGGCTTAACTTGTTTGGTTTGTCCCCCCCTCCCCCCAGAGCTTAGTGGCTGGCGCCGCCATTGACAATACCTATAAACTTCTTCAAAATATGGCCCCAGGCCGTTGCGATGCAGGCCTGTCTAGCTTTACTACGAACTTGCCGGATTGAAAACCGTCCAATGCAATACATTGTGTCGATTCACAGCATCTATTTACATATTATCATCAGACCTTCCAACCCTTTAGATCTAAATATCGGAACAAGCCCAGGATATAAGTACACTTTTCGAAGCGGCACCAAGGGGAGAAGCTTTTTAATTTTTGCTTCCAGTTTGCTGGAAAATGCACTTTTTGAAGCAATTTTTCAATAACGCAAGCTTTCTCTTCAATAATTCTCGACAGGCTGAAAGCTACTTGATGGTTTAAATCAATTTTTTGGTTTCGTTTTTAAATGCTTTAGCTTTAAATGCAACACAATTTTTTTCAGATTGGGACAATTCTTTCAGCTTTTTCTTCCTAGCGTTTCTTTTCATTGAAACTCCTTGCACCCTCTCAATATATTTATGAAATCTGAACTTTTATCGACAAGCCAAAAATTTGACGGGTTCCTCAAAAACACTCACACTTTTTTCCTCGGTACGCCCATAGTATCTAGTTTGTGCAAAAATCATTTAAATTTAGCGTGAGATCTTGAGATGGTTTTTAACAATCGTTGTTCAGTGCATCAAAGATATTCAGAAAAAAAATGGTATGTTGCAAGGTGATTCTTGATTCCATAATTGTAATTGAAAGGAGAAGTTTTCTGTGCTGTTAATAGATCTTTTAACAATCTGATATTAACAAGGTGTAAGATCGCAACGGGCCCAATCGGGGCTGTGGCTCCGAACTTTGCCCCTCCTTAACCCATTTCGACGCTCTTGATGGTAGGTATTGCCAAGTAAGATCCCACGCAGCTCGGGCAACCTGAGCGATTAGCAAGACATAGCAATTTTGCACTGTAACTGAGTTCTCGCGATATTCGATTTGGTTCAGCTAAATTTTTCGATTTGATATCAAACAGGCAGTAAATGAATGGGTCGGTGTTAAGAAGGGTTTCTAAGAAGGGTAACCTAAGAAGGGTAACCTTGTGGTTTTCTAAAGTATTGTAGGCTTTATTCTGATAAATACCTACTGAAAAGTTGCCAATGCTCCCAAATATTCACAATGTTCTCCATACCCAATGCGTCCAACGTGCAAATGCTTAGTTTTTGTGTTCCAGACAAGTCATTTTCTAAAAGTTTATCTAAGGTGGTTATTAGCAATCCTCTTGTTCATCTGTAGACCAAGAAAGGGAAGGACAAATATTGATGCTGCTCTGCGCAAAGCTGTCTACCTGTTCAACTCTTACCAAGGATTCGCAAAAGATAAAGAAATTTATTTGATATCAGACGGGAAATTCAACGAGGGAAAGTATCCTGATGAAAGCCTGAAGACTTTGAACAAGCTTGGCGTTAAAATTCAAGTGTTGGCTGTCGGGAAAAATCCAGATTTCAAGGAACTTCGTGCGATTGCAAGCATTTCTGGTGAAGATCATTTTACCAGGCTGAAAAATGATAGAAAAACACACAAAAATATTATTTTCAAGCTGGCTCATCGGAAAGGTCTGTTTTTTCTAGTTTGCGTATCAAAAATCTACCATTTATCCTGTGCAGGGTCGGATTAACCAGGGGGTGTAGGGGTACGACATTCCCCCTTGTCTTATTTTTCTTGAAGTTAAAAGCTTAGTTTTTAAAAGGGCCATCATTTTCCAGTCATCTGAAGGATGTGGCACCAAAATTGAATCATTTTCTAACAGCCCCCCCCCCCAACCCTTGCCGCTTACAGTAGATCCGTCCATGAGATCCGTCCATGATGCTGAGGCCAATCTGGGATAATAAGATCATCTTGTTTTGACAATCTAATATAATTTTGGCAATGTTGAAAATTTTCATTTTTTCAATTTACTTAGCTGATTTATGATAAAAATGTGGAACAAGTATAGACAAAAAAGTACTCTTCCCGTGTTGAAAGAGCAAGAACATGAAATTTACTGACCGAGAATAGATGAAGACGGATTTTTGGTTACCTTCAGGCGGTGTTACCGAATAACTGACAATTCTTCTAGCAAACACTAAGAGTTTTGCAACTCCGTTCCTTTGGCATTGGACATATATGCCCATACGTCACTGCAGTATATTCTTCCAGACACGATGTTGTAATAATGACCGAGTTTGAAATTATAAACAAAACAGTATGCCCAGATTGGAAACATTGTTTCTTTTCGCGGACATATTTACTTTGAAAATTTGAGACTGCGCGTCTGAAATAATAAATTCTTAGCTATTTTTATAGTTAATGATGTTAAATTTTATTTTGTGCGGCCAACAGGCAAATGCGCGGAGATGTGTGCGCGGGAAATATCTTGCGGGAATTTTTTTATGAATTTTAGGTTATGCTTTTTTCAAAATGGCACATCCCCGTTTTCTGCCTATTGAAGTTAAACTCGGGTATGGATAAAATATGTTTTTTGTAGAGCCTTATACTAAGTGCAAAAGACGTGGAACGATACTTGACGAGTGCAATCGTGAATGCCAATGCTCTAATGGTTTTATGAAAAATTGTCAACGAGTCAGACGAGAATTTACAACATTTACAGACGAGGAGAAAAAACGATACTTGCAGGCCTACTTCAAAATAACAACTGTGGAGCCACTGAAATCGAGATTTATAAAATTTATCCGGAAACACGCAGTTTATTTTTGGTCAGGTAAGCAACATTGCGTCATGAGTTTTTAATATTTGAGGACAATACTTCTCTAAACATCAATCATAAAATTCATTCAGGTTTGAGCTAGTTCAGTAAAAATATATTTCTTGTCATTAAATGACCTTTGTATTATTATTAAGACCCTGTTTACACGGTACTGAATGAATGAAAATTAGTAACGTTTACGCGGTACCGTACTAATTAGTCTTCCTGGCCGTCCCGTTTACATGACAGCCGCTCCTTGACGGATGTCATGTGATCACTGTGCGCATTAACAATTGCAGTACCATTCTTATTATTTTGTGGCTTTTTTGCTTTGTAAATAATACAAGTATGTTTTAAAATGTTGTCAAAAATACTAAATGCTTTCATTTTTCAAAAGGTATTCACAAGCGGTATCAGTTCTTCCCATGGCATCGTTGGTACGTTTACCAATTTGAGAATTTGATGCGGGAAGTTGATTGCAGAATCACTGTCCCTTTTTGGGACTGGAGTTACTGGAGCCCAGTTGCTTGGAAAGTTGGAGTGCACATCTGGACGAATGACGAATGTAAGTGTTCTTAAAAGTTAGTTGTGAACTAAAACGAGTTGTGTGCACATTATGATTGCTGCAGCAGTTTTATGGAGGAAGACTGTCAAAAACAGTTTTTATTCAAACCATTTTTACTCACTGATGATGGAAATGTTTCCTCTCCAGATCTCATAGACTGTGTTGAATGTTCTACCATCTTCCTGTCATCTTCCTGTCATCTTCCTGTCATCTTCCTGTCATCTTCCTGTCATCTTCCTGTCATCTTCCTGTCATCTTCCTGTCATCTTCCTGTCATCTTCCTGCCATCTTCCTGCCATCTTCCTGTCATCTTCCTGTCATCTTCCTGTCATCTTCCTGTCATCTTCCTGTCATCTTCCTGCCATCTTCCTGCCATCTTCCTGTCATCTTCCTGTCATCTTCCTGTCATCTTCCTGTCATCTTCCTGTCATCTTCCTGCCATCTCTCCCTGCCATCTTCCTGCCATCTTCCTGCCATCTTCCTGCCATCTTCCTACCATCTTCCTGCCATCTTCCTGCCATCTTCCTGCCATCTTCCTGCTACTTCCTGCCATCTTCCTACCATCTTCCTACCATCTTCCTGCTACTTCCTGCCATCTTCCTGCCATCTTCCTGCCATCTTCCTGCCATCTTCCTGCCATCTTCCTGCCATCTTCCTGAATCTTATAACCTGTCTTTTTTCAATACAAAAGTGAAGAAAATATCTATATTTCCTCTCTCTCCCACTCAATTCCTCCTTCCTTTCCCTTGTCAGGGATTTGCTTTATGCTTCTTCCCTAAAGTAACCGGCAAAAAAGAACAAAAAAATGGAGCGAATCTAATTTATATACTCTCTTTATACCTTCTCTTATTTAATATTTACATTAACGATCTGCTTATGTTTGTACCAGACATAGAGGTATGCAACTATGCAGATGCCACAACTCTCTATGCGAGCGACACTAACCCCTCGCATGTAATTGAAAAATTAGAGATGACTGTATGAAGTTAAAAGGGGACAAATGCCACTTCATGACCTTTGGCGATCAAAGTAATGACTTAGCCATACAAATGGACAACCTAATCAACGAAAGCAGCGAGGAAAAACTACTTGGTGTAACTAACTCTCATTTAGGCCCAGTTCACACGAGAACGCAATCTCTCCGTTTCATTTTTGTTCCAGTTTCTGGAACGGAAAAGTATACTGTTCACACGGTAACGGAACGATTGCATATCGAGTTTTGTTCATGTTCAGACGGGAACGCAATCGTTCCGTTCTGCAATTTGTGCACCAAAGTAAGAAAATGATTTATAATGCGCATATCCATAATGGAGATAGATTCTATCATTTCGACTCATCTCTGAGCTGATTTAAACAATTTGAATAAAAAATCACCAAATGGAGAATTCAACAGCGCCCCAAATAGCAAGCTCGTGGACTTTCCCACACCAGAAGCATTTGCTACTTTTCTAAAGCGGCCTTCATCAGCTAAATAATAGAGTGTTATTGCCAGTTGTGTTTCCACGGAAATAGGCTATCTCATTACTGTAGCTGTCATTTCAAGGAAAGGTCTCAGCTCCTAAGTTAATGTCATAAAAGTGTTTAAAAGTTGTTCCACCATATCTTACTTCGGCCAGATCTTTCCCACATGCTACGCCGACCTCTCCTGTCTTTTGTGGCAAGAAGAAATGTTAATGTTTGACCAGCTAAAACACCACGTCTTTTTTTTATCATGTTTAGAAGTAGATTCCTTCTCCGTCTATATGCAAGCTTTGTAAAAGAAATAATCGCCATGTTGAGCTTGAGTAAGTAATAAGTATTGAGCTTGAGTAATGTGAGTGAAGCAAGTGAAACTCCAAGAAACCCAATGGTGTTTTTGAATTCCACTTTTTGGAACGGAACGATGTCATTTGAAGCGTTCCCGTGTGAACACAACCCCTGAGCGTTACGCTTTTCGGAACGGAGAAGAACAGAACGGAACGATCGTGTTCCCGTATGAACGGGGCTTTAAGCCACACATAAAAAAACTGTGTAAAAAGGCCAGTCAAAAACTACACGCCCTCTCCCGCATTTCATGCTACTTAAGCACAGAACAACTCAAACAAACAATGAGGGCATTTATTCTATCCCAATTTAGCTATTGCCCACTTGTATGGATGTTCTGTGACAAAAGCCTAAATAATAAGACAAACCATATACATGAAAAGGCACTGCGTATCGCATGCAAAAACAATGTGTCAGATTTTGATACTCTCCTGATTGAAAACAACTGTGTGTCCCTACGCAAAAGAAACCTTCAACTACTAATGGTTGAGATCTACCAAACTGTACATAAACTCAATCCAAGCTACCACCTTTAGAGTAGCTACTACCACCTTAGAAACAGTAGATTAAAGAAAATCTCGAAAATTCGAACCATCACTCATGGAATCGAAAGCTTGTCCTATTTAGGATGCAAGCTTTGGAACAATCGACCCGAAAACTTGAAAAACCTAAATAAACTTAATACCTTTAAAGTAAAGATCAAACAATGGAAGGATAATTGCAACTGCAGGCTGTATAGAACCTTTGTAGCACAGGTCGGGTTGTTGACATGAATTATCTAACATGATTATTTTCAACTATTTATCTAATCAGATCCTAGGTATTTTAATTTATTTCTTTAAATAGCTTTTATATCACTGTATAATATTATCATTTTATTCCTATAAATGGTAGGCTTTAATCATCTTATCTTTTAGCTACTATTGTAAAAGACGCCTACTGTAAATTAATGAATTATTATTATTATTATCATAACTAATTCCTTTTACGATTGGAGTGGTGTCGCTCATCATGTCTGGGCGCAAATTTGTTTGATTAGCAAGGAACATAGGTAGACTTGATATCTTCTTTTAAAATAGCTTTTTGTGAGTATTTGTCATATCTGCAACGCTATTGGAACGATGGGCGACACCACTCCAATCACTTTTGTAGCTTATTATTGTAATATTTGTGTCTCTATGTTAAGTGTAAGTCTTAGGGTTGTTATGCATTTCCATGCTCCCTAGGCTTTTGTATTGTAATTGTTGTCGTTGTAAATTTTTATGAGAATAAAAAAAAATAAAAAGTAGAAAATAACTAATCCGACCATTGGCTTTGTCCGAGTAATTTATCAGCGAATGTAGCAGGGTTTTAAAGGTTGTATGCATAACACACTCCACCTTGTCTTTTTTCTAGACGGTTTTGGAGGTGACGGCAAAGAATCTAGGCAGTATTGCGTTCAAACCGGCCCCTTCAACGAATCAGCGTGGTCCCATCCGGCAACTGAAAAGGTAAAGCGTGTTATGAGCTCAATAATGGAAGTAACCGGCCAATGCCAAACTCCTGTCTCTAATACCACGCATTACAAACGATGTTTACGGAGAAGCTTTAATAAAGTATGCCCCAACGTTGCTCATGTCTTGCAGACGATTGGAATTCCATGCACAGATTTCAAACGCTTTGACTATACTGTGAGGGAAACCTATCATAATGACCTGCACAATCAAATCGGTAAAGTTCTGTTTTATATTCTATCGCTATGTTCTTTTTAAAGATGAATAATAAATATATATTGAACAATTGTACGTTGTAATTATAAAGAGTTGTGGCTTTCGTTTCTTCGAAGGAATTGTCGACAAATTCAAATATTCGAAAAATCGTGTGTCCAGTGTCCAATAGACCATTCGTTATCAGAACGAGGTTGCTGAACACCACCGAAGCTATGGGTGTTTGGGATGTCTCTTCTCCACGGGAATGACATTATGTTGATGTTCGGCAAGATTTCCGTAATATTTTTTTCGGTTATATTTTTTCAAGAAATTTTCCAGCCAAGGAAAGGTGCAAGAAGCTATTAAATTATCGAATGAACCGTTTTTGAAAGAAAATTTGTTAACCAATCTTTTTCTGCATTTATTGTAGGTGGTCAGATGTCGTCGGAATACGCGGCTAATGCGCCTGAATTCTTTCTTCATCACGGTTTGCTCGATAATATCTGGTATCGGTGGCAGATGAAAGGCCCTGCTTGTCAATTTGCATACTTCCCGAAGAACGTATCCAAATTGCTAGACGCCCCTTTTAAGACAACAGACTTTGTGAATTCAAGCAATCAAGGCCATTGTGTGAGTGTTAGGTATGACAAATTTCTGGACCGTGTCATTCCGGTTGGTGCGGATGTGGGTAAGTACAACGGTTACTTGTTATTTAGGCTAGCTTTCAGTGGCGGTGCGTAGTTGTACTAACAGTACTAGTCTATCTAGTACCACTAGTCTACCTAGATATTTGAATGAGCGTCCCTCTCTTGTTTAGGGATGCAACAATAAAAAACGCTTCAACTGGTCCTTGGTAAAACAGTGTAATAAAATTAATGCAAACTCTCTATGATCTTCTCATCTGATTCCTCTAAATACGAGGTAAATAAAACAGAACAGAACATAACATATAAACGAGGCTATAGACTAGTACGTATGCTTGTACGTAACACTTACCGGGCAGGGAGTTTACTTGATTGCTTACAGTACACTGGGACGAGCATTTACTAATTCTCTGTTTGTGATGTGTTCTATGGATTCTCTTTCAGGAAAACCATCCCTCCCAGATTCGTATCTGTGCTTCAAAGATGCAAAATCAAAAGATGAAATGCCAAAGTCAGCGTTTACATTGCTCAAAGAACAAATGAGGAATGAAAAAGACGATGACTGATGTCTTTTACTTTGCAAAACTTAGTAATGTATCACTGCATCTCACTAAGTGTTAGGACTTTTTTGAATTGAACCCTGTATACGCGAAAGCAAAATGTTCCATTTGGGTAGGATCCCAAGCTGATACGGATCTGCTTGTGTTTACACGAGAACGGCTTTATCTGATCCAGTGTGGATTTTATAATCTCGCGTTTGGATTTGCATGCTCTTAGATCTTTGATCATCACTGAGCGGAGTTGGTGTAACTGCATCATTATTTCAATCAAGATGGACCCGTTTCCGTGTAAACACCAGCGCAAGACTATGAGGCCGATCCCATCTGGATGGGTTCCGATCTCGGGGGGGGGGGGTACCTTAACATGTTTAAAGGTACGGTGACGTGCCATTACTTAGGGGTACTGTTTTTCTATAAAATGCGGGCGGAATTATCGGTATCAGTTTTTGAATTACGTGCTGAACTGTGGGTACCATTTGAAGAAACATGCAGAATTATGGGTACCATTTTGGGGTAACATTGCAAAATTATTAGGGGGGAGGTTTAGCATTAACAAATTGAATTTCCTATTAGAAATAAAAGTATAAAATATGTGTAATATTAATGATTTTTATATGCTTTAAATTTGGTTGGTTTATGATTTGGTTGATGATTTTTATGTGCTTTAAATATTTTATTTGCTCTGCAGAATTATGTGTATATTTTTTCATCATGTTTGCCGAATTTTTGGTCACATTTTTCGGACATTCACGGAATTATGGGCCCAAAATTTTGGCCAAAATGGCACGTCCCCGTCCAAAATTAGGCATAGTTTACCCCCCGAGGTTCTGATCCAGTTAGAATTCGTTCCGATCCAGATAGGCATGGATCTGATCCCATTTGGATTGGATCCGATCCAGTTAAGCTTGGATCGGGCCCGATGGGATGGGTTCCGATCCAGTTAGGCTTTGATCCGATCCTGCTTTAATTGGATGCAGTCCAGTCTGGATTGGTTCCGATCCCGTCAGGATGGGTTCCGATCCCGTTTGGAATGGATCCGATCCAGTAAGGCTTTGATCCGATCCTGCTTAAATTGGATGCAGTCCAGTCTGGATGGGTTCCGATCCCGTCAGGATGGGTTCCGATCCCGTTTGGAATGGATCCGATCCAGTAAGGCTTTGATCCGATCCTGCTTAAATTGGATGCAGTCCAGTCTGGATGGGTTCCGATCCCGTCAGGATGGGTTCCGATCCCGTTTGGAATGGATCCGATCCAGTAAGGCTTTGATCCGATCCTGCTTAAATTGGATGCAGTCCAGTCTGGATGGGTTCCGATCCCGTCAGGATGGGTTCCGATCCCGTTTGGAATGGATCCGATCCAGTAAGGCTTTGATCCGATCCTGCTTAAATTGGATGCAGTCCAGTCTGGATGGGTTCCGATCCCGTCAGGATGGGTTCCGATCCCGTTTGGAATGGATCCGATCCAGTAAGGCTTTGATCCGATCCTGCTTAAATTGGATGCAGTCCAGTTTGGATTGGTTCCGATCTAGTTTGGAATGAATCCGATCAAGTTAGGCTTTAATCCAATCCCGTTAGGATTTGATCCGATCCCGTTTAGATTGGATCTAAAGAGAACTGAGCCACTTTCGCTCGTTTAAATGCTAATCTCGTCTTTAGTTTAAGTTTATAGGCCTTCTAATTGCTATGACTTTTTAAAACTATTTAGGTGAGTTTTCTGCTGGCAGATATTTGCAATTGCCATATTTATAATGCAAAAGATGAAATATGTCTTTGCTTATCGTTTTGTATTTTTTTAGAATTGTTGAGTAGAAGATATAAACAAAGATGCAGCCCCCTTGTCAAAATTTAAGAAAAAAGTATGGAGGCTAAGCTATTTCAAAATTGATTTTTCTATATTTGCAAACTATGAATACTTCCCAAGTCCACTGAATAACAGTTTTGCATGGCATTTTAGCAGAAAGTTCTTCCTCTTCGATGCCATAAATATTTTAGATGCATTTTTGCCATTCTTAGAATGTCATGTCCAGTGCATTTTTTAACATTCTCAGTTGAAGGGAATTGCCCCACCAGGCCCTGCGACTTTCCTAGGAACCGCGGAGCGTTGAGAAAAGTGGACGGCGGGATTAAAACCGTATGAAAAGAGGCTTTTCTGGTAGTTTGATATTAAATATTTGGCATTTTTTGCAAAAAGTGGGCTAAAGCCCCCCAGCTCCCCCCTGCCTCGCGATTCCTGTTCCCCCACCATTGACGGGCAAAATGTTACTGTTACCCCAAATTTCTAGACCACAAACATAATGCAGGTGTTCTGGTAAAAGTCCTGGTAAACAGAAAAAGGATGTTCTCTTTTATATTAACGTGATGTTTTGGCCAAATAGCTCCACTACTGCAAGAGCATAAGGACAGTGCAAGTGTAAGAATACATATTAACCAAATTGTTTTATGCAATATGTGAGAAACAGCCAGGGCCACAGAGAGGGTTTGGCGTGAGGGGCAAATCACTCTAAAAAAAATCTCGTACACCTTTTGTAAAAATCCTATTGTTTTATCTGAAAATCTCCAAAAATCCTTTTGTTTTAGGCAAAATCTCGTACGCTATTTGCAAGAGTGAATCGCCACTCGGTTTGGCGTACCTGGGGCAAAGAAGAGGCCCCCTGCAAAAGGAAGCGAATAGAAATATTTTGCAACCATGTCCTTTAAGATTAGCTTAAATTCGTTGATTTTCTTGCAATCGTTTGAAATGTTTTTAGATAGTATTCTGCTAATTTTAATTAATTCCATTTCAAAACAAAATTAATTACTTTGTGAGTCCCCCTTGATCTCCTGGCCCAGGGCCCACGCCGGGAGCCCACAAAAAATGTGGGGCCTCAAGAAATTTTCGGATGTTTCATAGGGTTTCTTATTTACGAATAGCATTGTCTCCACAAGGTGGGACAGGTATGATAGAGTTTTTAGAAAGATTCATGGAATGATCAGTCCCAATTGATTCATGATAATAAGGGTTGGTGTAATATTCCTGGCTAGCGAATTTTCACAGGAAGATTCTACAGACATGAGTAAATGGAGACGTTAAGGACACATATATATCGAGCAAAAATCGATCAGACGTTAAGGACACATATATAATAGAAAATCGAGCAAAATTCACTTTTTTTATATACATAGTAATAAATGTATTTATTCGACTCATCAATTGAGTTTTTGTAGCTACAGAGACAAAGCTTTAAGCTTTCTATTAATTCTTCAATTACTCATGAAATATTTTCTTCTCGGCTTCTACAAATAAAATGTTCAGACTTTTTAAAAGGGAGGTCTTGTCTATTCTTGGGCCTGGGGGCCCTAAGAATGATAGTGCGACCCTGTCTTCGCCCTATGGCAATTTGCCTCCCCTTGCCCCCTCTCTCCGCGGCTCTAGAAACAACCCATCTAGCCCTTGAAACAAGCCAGGATTCTGAAGTAAGCGGAGTCTTAAGCGTGGGCCCTTTTGAAAACTTCCCCGTCACTCGAAATTCTTAAGAAATGCCCTTAAAAAATTCTAAAAAACCTGTGCTGATTGATGCTGGCCAAATTTTTTAGGCGCTAATTTAGTATTATTGCTGTAAAAATTTTCTGCATTGCTGTGGATGGCAGTTGATTTAAGGTTATGGTAAACGTTTTTGTCACGATACTTTTTTCTCTTTCTAAAAGCCAAGCTATTATCGGAATCCGATTAAACTACACATCATTCGATATATAATAATAATAATAATAAATAATTTGTTTAAAGTTGGCGTACTAAATGAACGGCTGATAGCTATAAAGAAGCTAATTAAGGCCAACTATCTATAAAGAGTTAGTATGAAATAAAAATATATGATACAATACTAAAAAGGTTTAAGGTATAATGTTCTAAATAAAACCTACCCAGCAATAAATTTTTTACACAATCTACAGTCGCATTCTATAGGGTGTGCTCTTAATTCTTTTTTAAATGTTGCCAATAATTGGGACTCTCTTATACTGTGAGGTAGTGTTTGCCACAGTTTTTGACCTAAATATCTCACAGTTTCTATACCATAAGAAGTTGTCCTGGCTTTTGGAATGCAAAGATTATTTTTAGTTCGCAAATCATAATGTACATTTCTTGTTTCAAAAATCTCACTCATGAAACTAGGGTTCAGGTTATGTTTGGTTTTGTATATTTCTATCACCAAGTACTGTAGATTGCGTTGGTGAATTGATACTGCATTATCCAAAGTCAGCAATGCTTCGTAGTCAGCATGACTGTCTTTATAAACAATTCTGAGTGCTCTTTCGTGGATTTTATTTACTTTAGCATTCAGACATCTGTCATGGAACATCCAAATTAGGGGGCAGTAACTAAACTGAGCTTTTATGAAGCTGTTCATTAGGAGACGCAGTTTATCAGAACCCATAAATGGCGAAACTCTAGCAAGAGCATGCAGTTTTTGGCTGGCTCTTTTGCATAAATTTGAGACGTGACTTTTGAAATTAAGATTTTTATCTATTATCACCCCTAGCAGTTTTTCTTCAGAGCTTTCTTCAACAATGGCCAACGGACAATGGACAACGATGCACACGAATGTGGTGATTCCAGCCATATCAAAATAAGAATGTGGTGATTCCAGCCATGTTAAAATAAAATTATATTTTCCAGGCAAATTTAATGCTCAAAAGAGAGTGCCACCTTCAAAAGCTATTTTGCACCCTTGCGTTTGAGACAACAAAACCTGACTTACCGTATATCAGCAGGAAGCGCAGTTCCCAAGCTACCCAAGAGTGTCGCAGGTTTACCAAAGAGCGAAAGCAATTGTTCTTCGCTCTCATAGCTGTATTTGGCCATAAAAGACGGACCAGAGCAAATGCAAAAATTTTGAGACACGCTTTTGTTACCCGATATCTTTCCCGGCCGTGTGCAAAATTTTGAGCCATTCGGTTTGTTCCTTGGGTGCAAAATAGCTTTTTCATACCTATATGTAAAAGAATTGTAAGTCCAGAGAAAACGGGATTTTACTGATCGTGTATTCATAAACCACAGTGTAATCCTGAATAATACCTTCTGCCGAAGATATCTACGATCTCTGTAATGATCTAAAAGCTGAGATCGACAATATTGCAGAATGGTTACGTCAGAATAAGCTTAGTTTGAATACTGAAAAAAACAGAATATATGGTTATTGGTCATAAACGACAAACCAACCGTATCCTTGGCCCACTAGAGGTAAATGTAAATGGAGAGCCAATCAAACGAGCTCAACAGGTAAAGTTCCTAGGAATTACGGTCGACGAAAACCTGACATGGAATGAGCAATATAAAAACCTTTAAGGTAAAATAAAAAATGCACTCTCGTCCCTGTGGAAACTAAAGAACATACTCCCGCAATCGCAACTGGATCAGGTCTACAAGGCGCTGCTCGAGAGCCATTTGAGATACTGTGATGAACTGTGGGGAAAATTGTCAAACACGAAGCTCGATCATCTTCAGAGTTTACAAAACAGAGCGCGCACGCTAATAGAAGGCTCAAGATTAAAGGACGGGTGGAGCTGCAATTGGCTTTCGGTCTCAAATTTGAGCAAATTTGACAGGGCAGTAATGATCTACAAAATAATAAATGGTCTCTGCCCTGACAATTTGAAAGGTAAACTTGTCACAAGATCCCAAATATCTAGCTATTCAACAAGAAATTGCCTTCACCTAGACATCCCAAGGCAAAACCTAGAATTCTCCAAAAGGAGTTTTTTCTATTGTGGTGCACAGACGTGGAACGAGATTCCATTACAGATAAGAATGAGCTCCACGATAACCACGTTCAAAATAAAAATTAAAGGAATTCCTGCAAAATTAGCATCCTTTCCCGAAGCACGATCCCTAGGAAGACCAGCATCATATATAAATTAATCTTTACTTTTTTCTTTTTTCAACTTGATAGCTCATAGGATTTCTGTGTAAAAATATGATAAAATGAAAAATGAGATCTGAGTCAAGTCATTTAAAGCTTAAAGATCAATAAGCCTGTTGGATGTGCTATGCGATTGTAACTAATTATTGCAAATTAGACATACGGCCCGGCGGGAGGCTGCTACGTCGACACTACTCTGTATTCGTTTCGCTCCGTTTTCGTTGTTGAAAACGCTGTCTGTTCACATTTATCCGTTTTCAAATGAATACGATTCAAATACGGTAAGTGTTCACACTGCTCCAACAAAAGCGATATTGGTGGCCTCATTTTTGGAAAGAAGCGTTCACGAATCTTGGGTATAGATTACGTAGGTGAACTTCCTACATCACATTCTGGTAATAAATTGATTTTAACCATTCTTTGCCCTTTCTCCAACTTTCTTCGTGTCATAACAGTACTAGATTAGAGTGCCACGACTACTGCTCGTGCTTTATTGACAGAAGTCTTTCTGCCTTTTGGTTTTCCATCTGTCCTTCAGAGTGACCGTGGTGGTGAATTTCTAAATGCTATTTTACATCGCATTACCGCATTGCTTTCTATGAAACAGGTCTTTACCTCTGGATATCGCCCTTGATTAAATGGTTCTACTGAACGTGTCCACTGATTCCTCAATAGTGCCTTTGGTATCTATTGTGAAAAAGTTCAACATCTTTGGGAAGATTATTTTCAACCTGCCGTCTATGCACATAATACATCGCCAATTTCAGGTACCTCAGATATCACGCCATTTTTCCTAGTTTTTAGCCGCGATGCACCATCCTCTGAACTTGTCTCGTTAAATCTGCCAGCAAAAGCTGATCATTATGCTCATCATCTTGTTTCTCGCATAAGAGATGCTTATTCTCAGCTCAAAGTCATTAAAGCTTATTTACATCGCCATCAGCGCGAGATCTCTCGTCATATTTCCATTCCCGATGGTAAAATAGTTTACATGAGCAAAGACCTTCCATCTAAAGACATTGGTCAATCTCCCCGCCATTTGCGCCGTTTTTATGGCCCTTTTCTTGTCACTGGTCATCCTTATAATCGTTCTGATTTACTCACTCTGCGCCCTTTTCCTTCTGGTCAACCTCTGCCACGCCCTGTCAACATAGAAAAACTAGTAGTCGTGCCTGATCCAGAACGCCATGATGTGCGTTTACCTGAAGACGCACTAGTTGAATCGGAAACTTCTTCATCATCAGGTTCTCACGTCCCCATCGATCCTGATCTAGCCACCATTGCATACGAATTTGCCAAATACTTATCATCTCTACCTTCCAAATCTGCCAATTCCTCTCAAGCTTGTAAGCATGTGTACACCCATTACCCTTCCGCTAGGGAAATTCTTGTTCTTGCTAGACATGGTCGTTTACGTGAGTTAGTTAACATACCCCTACCTCTAACCAAATGGTGCTTTACATGGTGGTACGTTAACTATTTCTGTAAATATGGAGTTACACACTTTTTTTATAAAGAACATTCCTCAAGGCCTAGTTCCAAAAGTTCCTTATTCGTAGACCTCAAAACATCAAGGTGTAGTACCAAAAGTTCCTTAATAGTTCCTTAATTTGTTTTAACTAAATAAGCCTTCAAACTTAATGGAGAGAGGAGCGAAACAGCATATGCAGCAACTACTCCACTAATAGCAAACAATCTATGCGAGTATTTGCTGCAAATGAATTGAACCGGCTTTTTAGTTCCTGATACTTGCAGTTATAAAGAATTTTCAAATCGGAAAGTTCCTTAGGGATTTCGTTTTTAGTAGTATAAGTTCTTTAAATATTTCGGCCTTCTACATGCAGGTTCCTTATAAAGTGGTTCCTTATAAAAAAGCGTGTATTCTCTAAGATATTGTTATCATCTCTATGATCGTTGTCTATTTGACTCAGTGTGTATCTTTATGTTACTTATGGTCTTTTAACTTCATAATTTTGTACGGTACTTTATTATTATCATTCGTTATGTTGATTAGTAGTGGACATTTTAGGACAGTTTAGGACAGTAGAGAACTGGGACCGAGTTTCAGTTATTTTTAGTTAGATCTTCGAGAGCACGAGACAAGATGGCGAATCTTAGAGTTTAGCGATTTGTGTGCGGCACATTTCCGTACATACGTGGCGACCCTGACAGGACACATACCGGGAGAATCATGGCAAATCCATCAACAGAAACAGCAACAGGAGATGGGCAAAATTTAGGCCCAGAGATTGATATCGAGAAGGAAATAGCGAAGTTGAATTATTATACAGAGCCGACAGATGAGCTCATAGAAATTGGAGACACAGTAGAAATGGAGATAGCAACAAATAGGGTGAAGGTAATCCACAATAAGATAATTGATTTGACAGGGAGAATTGAAGAGATGAAATTAGAACAAGGGGAATCATCTAGGTCAGTTAGGCAGTGGAAAAAGGATGTGAAAGATAAATATACAGGAATGTTAGAGCAAAATGAGAAAATGTTGAGAGCTTTAACACAAATAGAAACACAAACAAGAGAGGAAGGTCTGAGAAGGGAATTTGAAAGGAAGCAAATTGAGCAGCTAAGGGAAGATAAGAGAATGCTAGAAAGACAAAAGCAATTAGCAGACCA